ATGAGCCAGTTGAGATCTCTTCTGACTCCTCTGACTCACCTGAGGGGGGTGACGCCGTCGCCGACGACACGGCGACCACTCGCCGCACTCCTCGCTTGGCGACCCCCCCGGGTTTCCCGCCACGGCCGTCTTCGCCGCCTCCGCAGCCTGCTGCTGTGGACTCTGGAGCTGAGACTACTAGAGCAGGGACTGCGGGTGGTGAGTCTGGGGGTGCCTGCTCTCCTCGTCTGGCTACCCCCCCCGGGTTCCCACCTCTGCCGTCTTCGCCGCCTCTACAGCCTACTGCTGTGGACACTGGAGCAGAGACTGAGGGTGCTGGGACTGAGGGTGCTGGGACTGAGGGTACTGAGCCTGAGGGTGCTGGGACTGAGGGTGCTGAGACTGAGGGTGCTGAGACTGAGGGTGCTGGGACTGAGGGTGCTGGGACTGAGGGTACTGCGACTTTGGGTGCTGACTCTGGGGGTGCTGAGACTTCGGGTGCTGACTATGGGGGTGCTGCGAGTCCTTCTGGAGGTCCTGGAGCTGGAGGTACTGGAGCTGCTGCTGGCGCTGGAGGTGCTGGAGCTGGAGGTACTAGAGGTGCTTCTGGTGCTGGAGGTGCTAGAGCTACCACTACTGGAGGTACTGGAGCTGGACAGCCACCGCAGCCTGCTCTACTTGAGATGCTCTCGCCGCAGGCGATTCGTGCGTGGGTCGTTCTGCGAGGCAGTCCTGGTGGTGGAGGGTACGGTCCTGCTGGTGCTGGAGCTACTAGTCCAGGAGGTGCTGCTGGTGCTGGAGGTACTACTGGAGGTACTAGAGGTGCTGCTGGTGCAGGAGGTACTGGAGCTGCTGGTACTAGGGGTGCTGGAGCTGCTGCTGGTGCTGGAGCTGCTGCTGGTGCTGGAGGTACTGGAGCTGCTAGTACTGGAGGTGCTGCCGGTGCTGGAGGTACTGGAGCTGGAGGTACTGGAGCTGCTGGTGCTGGAGGTACTACTGTTACTGGAGGTGCTGGAGCTACTGGCACATGAGGTGCTGGTGCTACTGGTGCTGGGGCTGCGGGTGCTGCTGGTGCTGGAGGCGTTGGAGCTGGAGGTACTGGAGGTGCTGGACCTACTGGTCCCGGAGGTGCTCGTACTGGAGGTGCTGGACCTGCCGGAGCAGGTGGTACTGCTGGTGCTGGAGGTGCAGGAGGTGCTACTGGAGCTGGAGGCACTGGAGGTGCTAGAGGTACTACTGGTGCTCGAGGTGCTGGCACTGTCGGAGCTCGTGGTGCTGGAAGTGCTGGTGCTACTGGTGCTGGAGTTGTTGCTGGGGTTACTGGAGGAGCTGCTCGTGCTGGAGGTACGGGAGCTACTGGTGCTCTTCGCCACCTTCTCAGTCTTCCGCCAGGTGCTACTGGCTTCCCTGTGGCAGGTACTACTCCTCTGTTGCTGTGTCCACTGGCCGACCAGTCACAGCCACCGCTGCTACCACACTCCCCACTGCCTGCTCCTGCTCCTTACACTGCGGTGTCAGAGTCCCTGACTGAGCGTCGAGAGCCTGAGACTCGTGCGTCCACCCCTAGCTTTGAGAGCCTGTGTCTAGCTTTGAGAGCGTCGAGAGCCTGTGTCTAGCTTTGACCTTGAGCCTGAGCCTAGAGCTGCTGTCCGTGCTCGTGTTCCTCGTGTTCGTCGTCAGCGTGCTCCGGCTGTCCCCAGCACTCACGATATGACACTCCGTCCTTCCTCTGTTCCTCAGCGTGTTGCCCTACCGTTACCTCCTGCGTCCTCTCTGCCTGACGTTGCTGACCCTCCGTCTGACCTTGCTCGTGCGTCCAGTCCGACTGTTACTCGCCTTCTTGCTACGGTTGTGACGGACCCTACGTTCTCGTCTCCTGCTGCGTCTGCCCTCGTAGCTGAGCTCGTTGACTTTGCTGCTGTGTACCGCCTAGACTACCTTGCGAGTCTTGTCTCTGACCCTGTCCCTGCCTGTCCTCCGTCCGTCGGGGGTGAGACTGCTCTTGGCTGTACTGCCCTTGGCTGTGACGTTCTTGAGGACAGACAGGAGGAGCTGCAGTGCCTTGCTGCCGCTTCACCCCATCACGCGACCATGCTGCTTGCCCCTGAGGGAGACCCGGATGCACTTGACATCCCCACCCCGCGCTCCTACAGGGAGGCGATTTCGGGTGAGTACTCCTCTCAGTGGCAGACAACCATGGACGCAGAGATGGCTTCCTGGAAGTCCACAAGCACCTACGTCGACGAGGTTCCCCCACCTGGGGCGAACATCGTCAGTGGCATGTGGATTTTTAGGGTGAAGCGGCCGCCGGGTTCTCCGCCTGCCTTCAAGGCACGTTATGTTGCTCGAGGCTTCAGTCAGCGCGAGGGGGTCAACTTCTTTCAGACCTTCTCCCCCACCCCGAAGATGACCACTCTTCGGGTGTTGCTACACGTTGCAGCTCAGCGTGACTACGAGCTGCACTCCCTCGACTTCTCGACAGCTTTCTTGCAGGGTAGCCTTCACGAGGCCATCTGGTTGCGCCGTCCACAGGGCTTCACTGGGTCGTTTCCCGAGGGTACCCAGTGGAGCCTACGACGACCAGTGTACGGCCTGCGTCAGGCGCCCCGTGAGTGGCACGACACACTGAGGACGACACTTGCGGCTCTTGGGTTTGCTCCTTCGACTGCTGACCCGTCGCTGTTTCTCCGCACCGATACTACTCTGCCGCCGTTCTACATCCTCGTGTACGTCGACGACTTGGTTCTTGCTACTGCTGACACTGAGGCACTGGCCCTAGTGAAGGCGGAGCTGCAGGAGAGACACACCTGCACTGACCAGGGTGAGCTGCGGAGCTATCTTGGCTTGCAGATCACCCGGGACAGACCACGGCGCACCATCACCCTCACTCAGTCACACATGGTGCACCAGGTCCTTCAGCGCTTCGGCTTCACTTGGTCCTCGCCACAGCCCACTCCTCTGTCTACCGGCCACTCGCTCTCAGCTCCACCTTCGGACGAGTCCGTAGAGCCGAGTGGTCCGTACCCAGAGCTTGTGGGTTGCCTCATGTACCTGATGACGTGCACACGACCTGACCTCGCGTACCCTCTCAGCCTCCTAGCTCGCTACGTGGCACCTGGTCGACACCGAAAGGTGCACTTTGATGCTGCGAAGAGGGTACTGCGTTACTTGTGCAGCACATCGGGCATGGGGCTCGTGCTTGGAGGACGGGGTTCGGTGGTCCTCATAGGACACTCTGATGCTTCTTGGGCCGACGACCAGACGACTCAGCGTTCGTCACAGGGTTACACCTTCAGTCTTGGCTCTGGTTCTGTCTCGTGGAGGTCCACTCGTTCTTCTTCTGTGCTTGGTTCCAGCTGTGAGGCCGAGATCTACGCTGGGGCCATGGCTGCACAGGAGCTACGCTGGCTGACCTACCTGCTGACCGACTTGGGGGAGCGGCCTCGTTCTCCTCCAGTTCTGTACGTCGACAACAAGGCAATGCTTGCCTTGTGTCGCGAGCAGAGACTGGAGCACAGAACGAAGCACATTGCTCTTCGCTACTTCCTTGCGCGTGAGCTGCAGCAGCGTGGTCAGCTGCGCCTTGCTTACGTGGCCTCTCGGGCCAACACTGCTGATGTTTTCACCAGGGCCCTTCGTTCTGGTGATCATCACCGTTTCTGCACTGCTCTTGGGCTTGTGCCCACTCTACCTCACCTGTTGGTTGCTTGACTTGCTCTTGTTGTACACTGCTATATATCTTTATACCTGCATGTTTTCTCTTGCTAGGTTGTGATCAGTGTACTGCCTTGCTATTATATACCTCTGCATGTGAACTGGCCGTGTGGCCACTTGCTTGTGCTCGGAATGCGTGGTGACTTTGTGATCCACCCTGAGCTGTGTTCTCTTCTGCAGACTGGTCTTGTGACCGCTTGTTGTGTTTGTTGTCCCCTACTTTGCCTATGGGGGTGTGTCAGATTACAATTGTATCTCTAGGCTACAGTAGGGTCACTCCTTAGTGAGTACAACACTTTAGGGTTAGGTTTCCTCTACTTGTACTCACCTCTTGCCTAGTTCAATCATTCATTCCTAGTTCTATTCTTGACACGGCCCATAACCCGCAACCCGGTCCTATGCTTTGACATTTCCCAACCTCGAAATCAGGCCCGTATGGTACCCTTTTCGCGAGCGCGTTACCGTTGCCGAAATGCCTTCGCTATTTAACACTTCTCTCATGCCTGCTCTAAGGGTACATTCCGCTCTGGACACTTTCTCAAAGAAAGTGTCCGAATCACTTTTTGCCCGAGTCGCCCTCAAATGTCTCGGAACCTCATGTCCCAATCAATAAATGTACTGCGACCCTGCACGACCGCGCGACAATTATACGAGAAGGGCTGTGATTGGCCCTTCGCGTGCGTGGACCACTCATTGTGACAAGGTTGGGGAAAGTGTATTGGGTCACGGCGGGAGATATGCGAGGAAGCCCTGATTGACCAATCACGCTTCAGTGTACGCGTTGGATGGGAAAAAACGAACAGTAAAATCATGACCAGGTACATGCAGAGGGGATAGACATTTGGAACCGCGTGCGATGGCATGTCATTGTCACGCTGGTGTTGAATTAGCCCGCGACAGTTCCGTGGTTAACGCCAGCCAATCGGAAAAACGTTTTGCGACTTTGATGCGCGGTCCGAAATTCCGACACATGGCAGCATATGCTGTACATACGCGTCACAATCGATTCGGACACTTTCTTTGAGAAAGTGTCCACAGCGGAATGTACCCTAAGTGTATTTTTTTGCTTGGATAGTGGAATGCAATCTTCGTTCACTTGCTCAATTGAACTCGTCTGCAGCGGAACTTTTCTTGGGAATTCCCTGCAGCACCTCCACCTTCGCTGCACGGCTTCGCTCTGACGAGCGGTATCACCGAGGCTTCATCGAGGCTTCAACAAAACCGGATCACTGCAGATTCTTCTTCCAGCTCCAATGGAGCTGTACGCATTCCAAGCATAGCAACCATAGTCTGCACACTCGCGTGCCATGGCAGGCGAGGCGATGCAGACCTTTCACGTGGGTGCGCACGTGTGGGTGCCTGACCCCGAGGTCGCGTGGGAGGAGGGGTGCGTGGTAGAGGACCTGGGGGAAGGCAAACTGGCCGTGAAGATCGATAACCCCGCCAAGCCGGACGTAAGCCGGCTGTTACGCCTGTTGCGCGGAAGTTACTCTTTTTTTCCGCGTCAGTGATGCGTCGCACGAGGACCGAATCACTGATTGGTATCCGGACGCGTTTCGCGAGAGCACTCTTCGTTAGAATATTCAATATGAATGTATGCTTCTTGATATGATCCGTAGTGGATTGACGACGTCCTTATGAACCTCTACGGCATGCAATCAGAGCAATGGTTTCGTTCGTCCGTCGATTCTCGTTCCCACAGTGCTGTCGCTTCTTCTCCCGATAGTCCCCCTTACCGTCTCCTTTCCCATCATCCTGCTTCCATTACCATCGTCTCATCGTTTTCGTGCAATCATCCGCGGCAAATTCGTCCCCCATATCCGTCACATGCGGCTCATGCGTTACTTCCGTCCTCATTCCCATCACCCTGCTCTGCTCCCCTCTCCCGATGGCAGCTCTGGGAGGTGCACGCGTCGCTGTGCTGCATGCGCGAGCCAGAGGGCCCATTGCTGGACGACATGGTTCGTCTCACCTGCCTGCACGAGCCTGGTGTGCTCTCCAACCTCTGCCGCCGCTACCGCGCCAACCTCATCTACGTGCGTGCTCTCACCCTCACATTCATTCACACGCTGCTGAACACCCACTGCTGGCCCTTTTCCTCATCTCCAACCTCATTCACGTGTGTGTGTGGTCTTTTTCACTTGCGCGCTGCTCCGTACCCACTGCTGACCGTATAACCCATCTTATTGTGTGATCCTCACTCTCACTTATGCACTTTTCCACACACCCACTGCTGCCCGTTATACTCATCCCCTCCTCATCCATGTGTTTCCTCTCTCTCACTTGCACCATACGGCACACCCATGTTCCCCCATGGCTCCTTGCCTCGGGGTGCTGCTTTCCCCGGTTTCAGCGCCCAATGTGTATTGAATTCCAGCTCTTTTTGCTCCTTGACTTCAGTCACACACGTTAAGGAAACCAGCTAACGCAGTTGCCTCGCCTCCTAATTGCGAGCTGCCTACTGATCACATAGATACTACCATGCTCATTGCGGGCTGCCTGCCAGCCTTACGTGCAGGCAGTAATACCCCTATTGCGTCCAAGTAATCCCCCTTTCTTTCTTACACCATCTCCCGTAACCCCTCTCTCCCCCTCCCTGTTTCAATCCCTTGCCCTCTCTTCCCCTCCCTCCTCCCACCCTCCACCCTCTCCCTTCCCCTCTCCTGCCTCCCTCCCCCTCTCCTGCCTCCCTTCCCATTTCCTCCTTACTGCCAGACCTACACGGGGTCCATCCTGATAGCGCTGAACCCCTTTGTGCGCATACCCGGGCTGTACGACGCGGCAATGATGCGCCAGTACCACGGCGTGCCCCTCGGCCTGCTCTCGCCCCACGTCTTCGCCACGGCAAAGAACGCCTTCCGGTACGCGTGCGTGAGGCACGGCGTGCATGCGTGTGCTTCCCTGCCTCATTCACGTTCCCCGTCCCCAGTAGTACCATGGCATGCCCCTCGGCCTGCTCTCACTGCACGTCTTCGCCACGGCAGAGAACGCCTTCCGGTGCGCATAGAGCGTGCTTGTCGCGGGATCCTTATTTGTGGATAAGCTTACGGCTGTTTGATCAAGGATTTCAGGCTGCACATTGTCTGGCGTTACGCAGGGAGCAATGATCATCTAGTGTTTGGCAGAGTCGCGTTTCATAGATGCTGTGTGTCTGCCACGCCATTCTGATAAGCACGGAGAGCGGAGCCGGCAAGACAGCACTGCTGCTCTCACCCACCCCGCCTCCCTGCCCTTCCCCCCCACCACTATCCTCCCCACTGCCCGTGCTCACACACAGGGCCATGAGGGAGGGGGGTCGCAGCCAGGCGATTCTGATAAGTGGGGAGAGCGGAGCCGGCAAGACAGAGACCACAAAGCTCATCATAGAGTACCTCGCCCGTGCTGTCACACCCATCCCGCCTCCCTGCCCTTCCCCCACCACTGTCCTCCCCACTGCCCGTGCTGACTCGCAGGGCCATGAGGGAGGGGGGTCGCAGCCAGGCGATTCTGATAAGTGGGGAGAGTGGAGCCGGCAAGACAGAGACCACGAAGCTCATCATAGAGTACCTCGCCCGCGCTGCTGCTCACAGCGACCCTGCCTCTCTGCCCTCCCCCACCACCGTCCTCCCCTCTGCCTCCTCCTCCCTCCCCGCCCTGCACATCCACCCGCCTGGTTCGCCCTCTGCCCCTCCGAGCATAGAGTCCCTTGTTCTTCAGGTAGGTTTGTTTGTCTGCTATGCGGTGGATGGATGGTAACCATAGGCCATCAGACGTGTAGTTGGGTCAGATGATGCTAATGCAAATGATACAGGGAGATACAGGACATTGTAAAAATGACCTGTCACAGTTTTTTTTTTTTTTTTTTTGGTTATTGTGGGCTTTTTATATGAATCTAATCCACCTCTCCTGTCTCACTTCTGCTGATATGTGCAGGCGAATCCACTTCTGGAGGCCTTTGGAAACGCCAAGACTCTCAGGAACGACAACTCAAGGTGCCCATGCAACCGCCACTTCCCACTCGCCTCTCTTTCTTAACAACCCACCCATCGCAAGCACCATTGTCCCTCCCCTTGCCATTGCTGAGTGCTACTTCGTGCCACCCACCACCCACCACCGGCAGCCGCTTTGGCAACTTTATATAGCTGCAATGCAGCCAGGGGGGTGGTGGGTTCGCAGGGTGACTGTTGAGTCGACTTGAAAGCCCCCTTATCTTTGCCTCCATGTATCATTGCCACGAGACCACGTGTCCACTACGCACCACTGGCAGCCGCTATGGTAAGTTCATAGGAGCTGCAGTTTGGGCGGTGGGAGTGGGGGAGGGGGAGGGGAAGGGGAGGGTGGGTGGCCTCAAGGGTGAACTTTGAGTTCACTCGAAACTCCCCCTTACCATTGCCACTGTGTGCACCGTGCCCTCTACCCACCATGGCAGCCGCTTTCGCCAGTTCAAAGAGCTGTAGTTTGGGGCGGGGGGGGGGGGAGGGGGGGGGGGGGGTTAATGATAGGAGGGGTTGTCTGTGGGAGTAATTCCTGCTTTAACTCCCCTTACCATCGCCACTGTGTGCCCACTGCCCACCACTGGCAGCCGCTTTGGCAAGTTCATCGAGCTGCAGTTTGGGCGCAGGGGTGGGCTGACGGGGGCAGCGGTGCGCACATACCTGCTGGAGAGGTCGCGTGTGGTACACATAGCTGACTGCGAGCGCAACTACCACATCTTCTACCAGATGTGCCAGGGGCTCTCCAATGAGGTACTGGCAGGAAGCTATGTGCCAGTGGCTGTCCAATGAATTGAGGTGAGTCATGTCCTGGGGCGCTGTCTCATGAGGTGCGCACGTACCTGCTGGAGCGGTCACGAGTGGTACACATCGCTGACTGCGAGCGCAACTACCACATCTTCTACCAGATGTGCCAGGGGCTTTCGAATGACGTGAGTGCATGAAGCCAGGTGCCAGGGGCTGTCTGTCCAATGAGTGTGATGCCAGCATGACGCCGTGTGGCAGGGGCTCTTTGAGGTGAGCCATGTGAACCCATGTGACACACCATCATGCACAAAACAAGTCAGCTGCAGCAGCTGCAGCAACGAACGATTATTTATTGAAGTGCCTCACAAGATCCCTCCGCTCCCAACCCATCCCACCATTCAGGAAACAGCATTGCTGCAGCTGCCCTCAATTCCCAGCACGCGCGCCCACCACTTCCACTACCTCAACCAGAGCTCCTGCTTCCACCCCACCTGCCTGTCTACTCATGCCCCCTCTTTCCCCTTTTATCCAACCGCATCCTTCAACTATTTCCTTCACCTTCCCACCATGCAGGAAGCAGCGGCTCTACAGCTGCCCCCGGATCCCAGCACGCGCGCCCACCACTTCCACTACTCAACCAGAGCTCCTGCTTCCACCTGCCTGTCTACTCATGCCTCCCTTCATGTCCCCTGCTCCAACCTCATCCCACCCCATCTTACAGGAAGCAGCAGCGCTGCAGCTGCCTCCAGACCCCAGCACGAGGGCACACCACTTCCACTACCTAAACCAGAGCTCCTGCTTGGATCGGAGTTGCCTGCCTTTCTTTCCTTCTTAAACCTCGTCCTTTCCCAACCCTTCCATTCCACCACCACCCCATCACACAGGAAGCAGCAGCGCTACAGCTGCCTCCAGACCCCAACACGCGAGCACACCACTTCCACTACCTCAACCAGAGCTCCTGCTTCCACCTACCCGGCTGTGCCTCCGATGCCGACGAGTTTGCTGCCACCATGGCCGCCATGCGTGCTGTTGGCATCACCGCTCAGCAGCAGGTGGGTGGGTGTGTGAGGGGAGTAATGGAGAGAGTAAGTAGGGCTATTATGCTTGGGTGAGAGCATTTGCGTGTCCCCATGGCATGGCAGCCTTGCATGCTGTCGGCAGCATCACTGCACAGCAGCAGGTGGGTGGATAACTGCAGCAGCAGGTCACTTCTGAGACATAATATGTAGTTTGTTGCCACCATGGCATGGCAGCCATACGTGCTGTTGGCATCACAGTGCAGCGCATCAGCAGCAGCAGGTGGGTCGGTGTGAGAGCAGCAGCAGGCGGGGGTTAATATGTCAGAACTGTAAACAGGGAGTAGGGGGTGGGTGGATGGAGGGTCAAGGAGGGTTGATATCAGCAGGTGGGTTGATGGGTGAGGTGAATGTGACGTGAAAGAGTTTGGGGTTCAAGGCATTAGAGAGGTTGCTTTGACCAGAGTCTGCATGAAGCGTGAAGTGTCTTAGGTGCAGAGCCTCGAATTAATGAATCGGGCTGTTCCTATTCTGGCACCTTGTGCTCTGTCTCACCCTTTTCTCCAACCCTCCCTTTTGCCTCTCTGCCTCCCTTCCTCCCCCCCTTACTCTAACCCCCTCAAATTGGCCCATCCATCAGGACTCAATTCTGAAAATCCTGGCGGCCATCCTCCATATAGGCAACTTCACGTTTGAGCAGAGGGACTCGGACCTGGTGTTGGAAGTGCCCCATGCAGAGGCACACCTCAGTGCCACTGCCGACCTGCTCAGGTGCGTTCGTAGCTTCTCTTCTCAGGTGTGTTGTTGTGGACCTCCAGATCGCCTTGAATGCGTTCAGATCTGCTCTGGATTATTTCTCATGCTGCTGTGTTTGCTCTATTTGCCCCATTGCTCCATCCCCCCTGTCCCTTGTGTTTGAATTAGCCTGGACAGGCAGGCAGTGATCCAGTTGCTCATGGTGGTCGTCTGTGGTGAGTGGGTGGGCCTGCCACGCCACTGAAAACCAAGCTCCCCCACCCGAACCCTCCTTCGCTGCGACCGCCTATCCCTGCCCTCAGAGTGGACAAGGAGGCGATGCGAGAGTGCATTACAGTCGTGACCAGGCGGGTGGGTCCAGAGTTTGCCGTTTATCCCCTCTCCGCCATGCCATTCCTTCCCCTTCCCCTCTGCCTTCCCCCTATCCCTCCCCTCAGAGTGGACAAGGAGGCGATGCGAGAGTGCATCACAGTGGTGACCAGGCGGGTGGGCCCGGAGGTAATTCGCAGCCCAGCGGACGACCGCACTGCCTGCTTGCGCCGCGACGCCCTCGCCAAGGCGCTCTACTCACGCGTCTTTGACTGGTGGGTGCCTCCTCCTTGTTCTCGTGCGCGCCTTGTGTGAGAGTCAGCTTAACACGTCAGCTTAACACCTCCACTCGACCGCCTGCTTGCGCCGCGACGCCCTCGCCAAGGCGCTCTACTCGCGCGTCTTTGACTGGTGGGTGTGACTCCCCCTCTCCTCCTTCTTGCATGCACCTTGTGTGGATTGACTCTTGTGTGACCGATTGATCTCCTCTCGCGCCACCTGTGTTCGCTGCTAAGCACTTGTTAAAACGCTCTACTCGCGCGTCTTCAACTGCTGGGTCCCCTTCCCCCCATCTACCCCCCGTTCGTGCGCCTTGTGTGAGCCGACTTGACACCTGCATATCCTCCCGTGGAAGGCTGGTGGAGTGTCTCAAACAGCCAAATCCATACAGCTAGCAAGCTTCAATGTCGCTCTCCCCCGTCTCCCTTTTTTCCCCATCCCCACTGCTGCATGCCTCCCCTGCAGGCTGGTGGAGCGAATCAACGAGTCGATCCAGCAGACAAGCGGGGTGGAGGAGGGCCGGTGCATAGGCGTGCTGGACATCTACGGCTTCGAGCACTTTGAGATCAACAGGTGAAGGCGGATGTTGAAATGGGCTGCCTGCCTTGTAACTTGTGAGTCAACTCAAGAGTCACCTCGGAAGAGGCCTTGTGCATAGGCGTGCTGGACATTTGTGGCTTCGAGCACTTTGACGACAACAGGTGAACACGAAACACTAATCTTGAGATGGCTGCGGTGTGGAAAGAAGCGAACCATGTCGAGAAGTTGAGTGTAGAGTGGCTGACAGATAGATGCACATCATGTCAAAGTCTCACGATATAAACAGCAAGATTGTTTCCTGGAATGTGGCTAAGTGTCTTCTATACCCCCCTCATGGATTCCGTTGTTGCGTCCTCCGTCCCCTTGTGCCTTCTCGTACTTTCCTCCCTCCCTTCCCCCACCCTCCTGTTGCCCCTTGTCTTGTGCCTTTTGTACACTCCCCCCTCCATCCCCCCGCCCTTCCCTTCCCTTCCACCATGCTCCAGCTTTGCGCAGCTGTGCATCAACCTCTCTTTTGGATTGTGGCTGATGTAATCCCCTTACGGATTCCGCTGCTGCTTCCTCCTTCTCCTTCTGCCTTCTTGTACGCTTCGCTCTCCCTAAACCCCCTTTCCCCCCCTCCGCACCCTCCCCTCCCTTTCCCCCATGCTGCAGCTTTGAGCAGCTGTGCATCAACCTGGCCAATGAGAAGCTGCAGCAACACTTCAACCAGGTAGGAAGAGGATTGCACTTGCACTATGTGTGCAGCAACAGTATAACCAGGTCCAAGGAGGCTCATACTTGAACCATGTGTGCAGCAGCGCTTTTATTAGGTAACAAGAGGATGGCACTTGGGAAGTATATGTGTGCAGCACCACCTTACCCGAATACGAGATGGATTACACTTTATCTGTGTGTGCAGCAACATTCAAACGAGGGCCGTTTGGATGGTATCGTCAGATCATACTATATCTTTATCATATCATTTCATATCATATCATGCATGTGCAGGATTGTTCATCTTTTTGCATGCATTCTGCCACCTGCAACCTCCTGCTTGCTCCCTCCAGCATGTGTTGAGGGAGGAGCAGCAGGTGTACGAGCGCGAGGGCATCAAGTGGGACTTCATTGACTTTGACGACAACAGCGACGTGCTCGACGCCATAGAAGGGGTGCGCTCTTATCATGGGTCATGCCTGGGTCATGTCATGCCTGGGACAAGTCCAACACATTTGATGCCAGTAGCTTTTGATTGATGGCTCAAGAATCTCTTGCAACCAGACCTTGTTATCATGTGCATCACATCCTTGATATTGAGTGCTTCGTAGTAGTAGCTCCACTTTGGCGAACAGCTGTTGCTCTATTCTGTTCAGCATGTTCATCCTGCCGGCTGGGTTTACCCAGTGCTTCGCTCAACAAGAAAAAAATGTTTTTACACCGCTCGCACACGCAGGGGGGGGGCTTAGATGTGCTATTGTGCAATGAGCCATGCCATGCATCGTTGCTGTCCTTGCACTCCTCCCAACCGCACCCTCCTCCCCCCCCACAGGACAAGGGCATCATCTCCATGCTTGACTCTGCCTGGTACGCCATGCCCACGCCACCACACTCCCTCTCTCCCACCACTCCCCCACCATGCATGCTCTATCCCAACGGCTCTCTGGGTTTCGGTGTCTTGTCTTTCTTTCACAACTCCGCTGCGTTCATTTCTGTCGAGTCTGTCTCTCCCGTCTGAATCCAGTGTCTGTGTGATGCTCTACTCTCATGCCACAATGCCCAATTGATTAGAGTATACGTGCTGTATCAACAGCACTTTAGGTGTGGGTTGCATCGCATGCACAGAGTAACCCCTCCCGTGCTCCACCGCCCCATACACTCAGCCACATCACTCCCCATACGCACATCCTTGTTGGAATCTGGCCCATATGACACATGCCAGCTGTGTTTTAACTTCAAGCCGATTTCAAGCACAATCTGCACCTACTGCCTTATCACTCCCTGACCCCACGACAAGCCATTCCCCTGTGACTATCACCCCCATCCGTGCAGCAAGCTGGCGCACATGACGCCGGCCAGCCTGGCTCAGACGCTGCGGCAGTCGCTGGAGGGCAGCAAGCGCTTCACCATGCCGCGTGGCTCTGCTGCCACCGACTTCACCCTCTCGCACTACGCAGGCAAGGCAAGGCAAGGCATGGCATGTTCACAGCTGCGGTTGCCGCTATTGGTTGTTGTTGCTGCTGATGCGGTTGCTGCTGCTGTTTAGAACTGCTGCTGCTGGTTCTTGTTGTTGCTACTGCTGCTGCTGCTGCTGCTGCTGCTGCTTTCGCCGCTGTTCCACTGGTGCTGCTGTGCCTGCACCTAGCTCCAACCCTGCTCTTCCTCCATCCCTCTCTCTTCGTACATGCCGCTCCACCCCCTTAGCTGCGCCACTCCTAGCTTAAGTTCATGGCTAAGAACACACATGTTGGAACTTCTCCATCCCACTCGTCTGCCTTATTCATGGTGTTCTCCGCACCCCTCGACTTGATTGCTCCTCTACCTTCCCGAATGGTCCTTTCATTAATGTAGAACATTGGTACAGCCAAGAGCAAGAGGAGCCTATGTGAGTCTAACCATTCCCTTCCCTACCTAGTCACCTACAGCGGTTTATACCTAGTCCCCTCCTTTCTCCCCCTCCTCCCTCCATCATTCCACAGGTGCGCTACTCGCTGCTTGAGTTCATGGCCAAGAACACAGACGTGACCATCCCAGAGCAGCAGCAACTGCTGGAGCAATCCTCAGATGACCTTCTCGCCGCCCTCTTCTCCCCACCTCCCACCACCCCCTCCTCCCCCTTTCCACCCACCCCGGGTAGCCCCCTCCCCACCACCCCTGGCAAACCCCCTTTCCCTGGCGCATACTCCTACATAAACGCCGCCGCTGCTGCCACGGATGCTGCTGGTGACGCTGCTAACGCCCCTCCCAGCCCAGCGACTTCCCTTTCAAGCCCCTTTGGCCAGCGCCTAAACAGCTTCAGAAGCCCCTCTGCCAGTGCGGATGCGGGCGGCCCGGGCGGCGGGCCGGGCGGCGTGGGGCGGCGGTTGCTTGGAGGGCCTCAGAGCCCCCTGGGGGATGGACAGAGCCCGAGAGGAGGAGGCGGGGGAGGGGGGGTGAGGGGAAGTGCGGGAGGGAGAGGAGGAGGGTCGCGCATGACGTCTCTGGGCAGGCAATTCAAGGTGAGACACCGAAGGTGGCTGGTCAAGTCAACTGGAAAGTTGGTGAGTTAAGGCACTCTCTGCCCTGCAGCCCCACAATTTTCCCTGCATCAACTCCCTGCTTTGACCACCCTTGCTAAGAGCGCATCTGCTTCGAGCGACGGTATGAAAAAACTTCTCAGCTCACATGTCCTCTGCTCGAAACGTCTCAATATCCCTCTGCTTTCTCCTCAAACCTGCCGTCCTAAATGCAGCTCCAGCTGGCGCAGCTGATGAAGACGCTCTCTGCCATGCAGCCCCCTTGAGCAACCCATTTCAACCCAAATCCGCTCTGCTTTCACTCCCCTTATCCTCTCATCTCCCCAACCCCGCTGTCCTCGCTGCAGCTCCAGCTAGCGCAGCTGATGAAGACACTGTCCGCCATGCAACCGCACTACGTGCGCTGCATCAAGCCAAACGCCGTTAGCCACCCGGCTGTCTTCGACTGGCTCTCCGTGGCTAATCAGCTGCGCTCCGGGGTGAGAGAGGGGCGTGCGGTGGGCGTGCGGTGTGGGGTGAGAGGGCATGTGGTGTGGGGTGAGAGGGCATGTGGTGTGGGGTGAGAGGGCATGTGGTGTGGGGTGAGAGGGCATGTGGTGTGGGGTGAGAGGGCATGTGGTGTGGGGTGAGAGGGCATGTGGTGTGGGGTGAGAGGGCATGTGGTGTGGGGTGAGAGGGCATGTGGTGTGGGGTGAGAGGGCATGTGGTGTGGGATGAGAGGGCATGTGGTGTGGGGTGAGAGGGCATGTGGTGTGGGGTGAGAGGGCATGTGGTGTGGGGTGAGAGGGCATGTGGTGTGGGGTGAGAGGGCATGTGGTGTGGGGTGAGAGGGCATGTGGTGTGGGGTGAGAGGGCATGTGGTGTGGGGTGAGAGGGCATGTGGTGTGGGGTGAGAGGGCATGTGGTGTGGGATGAGAGGGCATGTGGTGTGGGGTGAGAGGGCATGTGGTGTGGGGTGAGAGGGCATGTGGTGTGGGGTGAGAGGGCATGTGGTGTGGGGTGAGAGGGCATGTGGTGTGGGGTGAGAGGGCATGTGGTGTGGGGTGAGGGAGACGTGCATTCTGGGTGGAGTGAGAGAGACGTGCAAGGGGCTGAGCGCACAGGTGTCTCTGGATGCATGAATCAGGGCGCGCGAATCTTGGATCAACATTAAGTGCTCTTGTTCTCATTCGAGCTGTTTTACTGTAGAGACAAACGTATGGTTCCCTCCCTCTAGAGTCCCTATCTTCAAGAGCTGCTGCTCTTTATCTTTCCTCTCTGCCCTGCCTCCTCCTCATTCTCCTCCTCCCCACCCTCCGCCTCTGCCCCTTCCCAACAGGGGGTGGTGGAGGCCATTAGAGTGTGCTCCGCCGGCTTCCCATCGCGCCGCCCCTTTGGTGACTTCATTGAACGCTTTGCTCTGCTGCTGCCCTCCGACTCCCCTGCTGCTCTCAAGCTCGCAACGTGACTCGACCACCTTCACACACACTTTCAAATGTGTGCCTCTCTCGGAGCTGCTGCACTGCAACCACCACAGCTGCCCATATATCCCTTCCGCTTATCCTTACCCGTTTGCCTCTCCGTCTCCCTCATCCATTCGTCTCCATGCCCCCCTCTCCTCCTCCACACATCCCCTTCCGTCCGACATGTCCTTATTCCCCTTTCCCCCGTGCCCCTCCTCCATGCCCTTCTGTCATCCCCATGTCTCCCCATTGCGTCTCACCATATCAGGGCATCGGAGCCTGACATTGTGAAGCTCATTCTCACTAATGCCAATCTGACAGGCTGGCAGGTGAGTGTGACAGGCTGGCAGGTGAGTGTTACAGGCTGGCAAACAAGTGTGACAGGCTGGCAGGTGAGTGCGGCAGGCGGACAGTAGTGTTTCTACGGTACAAGCCTGGAGTATGGTGTCGAGATAATGGTGAACATTGGTGTGACTGCGGCCTTTCCCTTTTCATCTCTGCTAGAAATAGGCTGTCAACACTTTGTGTACTCTATTTTATATGGTTTAGGTTATTTGCGGGTTGGGTGTAGATTTGTAATCCCAACCCTATCTGGTTGGGATTCCCTCGTAATCCTGCAAATCTGCCAACTCACCAATTGGAGATTTGCTAGGATTCCCATCCCATCCTTTCCCTAGCTTTGCTCAGCCCAACCTTGTTTGTACTTAAGGCCTAGTGCCTTCTTGATCAATCAATCAGTTCAGCTCCAATTCTATCAATCTCAACCGCTAACTCACTCCTCTCCACCGACCCACCTTCCCCTCCACCCGCTCAATGGTGTTCCTGCGTCCGGGGCACCTGCAAGCACTGGAGGCGTTTCAAGCATCCTCTCAACTCGCACTTCCTCTTGTCCACCCTAACCAACTCTTCCTCTCTCACCCCCCCTCCTTCCACCATCCCCAGGTTGGGGTGCACCATGGTGTTCCTGCGGTCAGGTCAGGGCAGCTGCAGGCGCTGGAGGATTCTAGAAGCTTTTCTCGCTCCATCCCCTCACTTTCTCCTCTCCCATCCCCCTCCCACCACCATCCCCAGGCGGGGCGCACCATGGTGTTTCTGCGCGCGGGGCAGCTGCAGGCGCTGGAGGCGTGTCGGTCGCAGCGGGTGGATGCAGCAGCAGCGGCCATTCAGAGGGCTGTTCGGCGCTACCTGTGGCGCAAGCACCGCCTGCACGCCACTGTTGTTATCCAGAGCGCATGGAGAGGTACTTTGGTTTAGTCAGTCAGAGGCATGGACAGTGAGCGCATGGCGAGGTATTTGTGAGGCATTGGTCTATCTTTGAGGGGCGATTGGATGCGGCAGCAGCAGCCATTCGAGGGCTGTGTGGCGCCTCCTTCCCTCCCTATCCCTTTGTCTCCCCTCCCCTCTCCCCTTCCGTTTCCCCAGGCTATGTCAGGTGGAGGTTGGTGCCAGCGCAGAGGGAGGAGAGGGTGGCGGGGCGCATTCAATGTTGCTGGCGCTAACCCCTCCCTCAATGCGCGTTCTTCTTACCCCCTCAACCCCCACCCACTCCCCTCCCCCAGGCTACCTCACCCGGCGGTTGGTGCGAGTGCAGAGGGAGCGGAGGGCAGCGGTGCGCATGCAGAGCTGGTGGCGCGGACGGGTGGTGCGCTGTGGCTTCCTGGAGCTGCTGCCTGCCTCCCTCCTCATGCCCTACACCTTTGTCTCCCCCTCCTCTCCCACAGGCTACCTCACCCGGAGGATAATGAGGGTGCACGGAGAGAGGAGGGCAGCGGTGCGCATACAGAGCTGGTGGCGAGGGCTGGTGGTGCGCTGTGGATTCCTGGAGCTGCGCCGTGTGGCCATCCTGCTGCAGCGCCGGCGCCGGGGGCAGATGGCAAGATACGCTGAGGAGTGGCAGGAGCAGCACTGGGCTGCTATTACCATTCAGGTGGGTCGGTTCACTGGCCTGTCAGTGCATGCGAGTCTGTGGCTTCCTGGAGCTGCGCCGTGTGGCCATCCTGCTACAGTGCCGGCGCAGAGGGCAGATGGCTCAATATGCGGAAGAATGGCGGCTGCAGCACTGGGCAGCTATCACCATTCAGGTTGGTCGGTTCACTGCAATGTATTCAAGTCTATTGAGTCGACTCATAAGGCGCATCTGTTGCAGCGGCGTCCCAGGTGGACAATGGCTCGATACGCGGAGGTGGCTTCAGTTCAGCAGTGGGCTGCTCTCACCATTCAGGTCGGTCGATTCACTTGCAGTGCAACTAAGTCTGTCTGTGTGTCTGGAGCTCACCATTTCTGTGCGCTTTCTCCTTGCGCTCCCTCACCCCACCACCTGCTTTGTCCCCCTTTTCTTCCTCCCTCCTCCCCACCTCCTCTTCCTCATCTCCTTGCCACATTGTTTTGATTCTTTTCCTGCATTTCTGTGTTTGCTCCAATCCAATGGCCGTCCTGCGATCTTAATTCCCTGTAACCAGACTTCCGGTGGCCATTGACCGCTCTCACCCACCGGCTCTGCTCTGGCTCCTCCCAGTGCCCGCTTCGCCACCACGAATCTACTTGTGGAGTGGTGACTGCTGCTCCGAATTCACACCCCTTCCCTCCCTTGCGTTTCTCCCTCCTCGTCACCTCCTCCCCCTTCCCCCAGGCCCACTGGAGGGGGTACAGCAGTCGCCGCCCCTGGCAGATGCTGCAGCAGCACCTGAGGATGAAGGTCGCCAGGATGAGGCTTAACCGCCTCAAACAGGTCAGCCTCTAAAGGGGATACCGCAGAAACACCTTGTTGAGTCTACTTGCTCGAATCCGCCTAGCTCGATCTATTTCGGTGTCTTGGCCACTCCGATTCGCCATCCCTCACCTCACTTTCCCTCATCCCTTGCTCTTCTTGTTCTCTCTGTCGCGCACGCACCTGCACCCACCACCACAGGAGGCATAGCAGCCGGCGGAGCTGGCCCCGCTGCGCAAGAGGATGGAGGTGGCCGTTGATGCCATCCCTTGCCTCACTTCCTCTTATCCCCTGCTCTCCGTGTTCTCTCTGTCATGCCTACACCACCTACAGGAGGCGCAGCAGCAGGCACCATTTGAGTCGAGCCACAAGTCACTTGCCCTCATCCCTTGCTCTCCGTGTTCTCTCTGTCATGCCTACACCTGCACGCACCACCACAGGCAGCGCAGCAGCAGGCGGAGTTGGCTCCGCCGCGCAAGAAGATGGATATGGCTGTTGATGCCATCCGCCTGGCCGTGCTGCGAGACATGCGGGTGAGATGCATGCGGATTAGATTGGGTTGAGATGGGGGTGAGATGGGAGCGATGGGGGTGAAATGTGAGAGGCCTTGTCCGCCAGGCTACACTGCGACCTGGAGAAGACCCATGTGTGCTCGACAGGCTCAAACAAACTGACGTTCGTAAAGCCCATCTCAGCTGAACCTTGCCTTACCTGCTCATGCATGTTGATTCAAATCCCCACCCTCTCCACCACACCGCACCCCTGCCCATCCCGCTCAATCCCCTCTCAGGACAAGGCAGAGCGGGCAAGGGCAGCAGCGGAGGAGTTAGTATCAACCCTTCAGAAAGAGCTAGAGGCTCGGTCCCGCCACGCCCACGCCCTCGACCGGGACCTCCGAGCCACCCGCTGCGACCTGGAGATCCGAACCTCCGAAGCCGAGGCTCGGATTGCCGAGCTTGAGGCGGAGGCTCGGGAGGCAGACCGGCAGCGGCGGGAGTGGGAGGCTCGGGCGAGCGAGCAGGAGATGGTTGAGAAGGAAGTGAGGGAGCGGAGGAGAGAGGTGGAGCAGTGGAGGAGGGAAGCCGAGGGAAAGGATGCAGAGATTAGGAGACTGAAGGAGGAGTTGGAGGTAGTGAGGGGGAGGTTGAGAGAGGCTGAAGGGCAGGTGGTGGGGTTGAAACAGGAGGTCATGGTGGTTGAAGGGCGAGTGGAGTTGATTAGGGATGAGGTCGAAGGGGCTGAGAGGAGGGCGGAAGAGGAGCGAGCGCGGGCAGAGGCAGCAGAGGGGAGGGCGGAGGCAGCAGAGAGGAGGGCAGAAGAGCTGATGAGGCAAGTGCAGCAGATGAAGGCTGAGCTAGATGAATCCGTCGCTGCTCTTGCTGCTGCCGCTGCCTCTGCCGCTGCTGCTGGTGGTGGTGCTGGTCACGGCTCTGCTGGTGGTTCTGCTGCTGTTGGCAGCCCTGCTGGACCTGGGTTGATCCCAGGGCAGATGATGATCGAGTGGCACGGTGGGGACCCCAGCAGGGCAGAGCCGACGGGGCGGGATCGGGAGAGGGAGAGGGAGAGGGAGAGGGGGGTGGTGTCAGGCCTGACAGCACCCTCAGTGGTGTCAGGCGTGGAGGAGACGTCTTCCTCAGTGGTGCTCATGCGAGGCGAGGAGGGCGACACTCTCACCGACATGATCAGCGAGCGAACCCCCGACGGTGCAACCCCCGACGATGATGACGGATACACCTACACCTACCTCGTCTCCCCTCCTCCCCCACCTCCGCCTCCGCCCCTTCCACCGCATACCACTGCAGCAGCAGACAACCCTACCCCTGGAGGCCTCTCCCCGTCGCTCCCGGATTTCCCCACACCGCCTCCCGCCTACCGCAGCCCGGCAGTGGGGATGATCGTGCCGCCGCGCTGCCACTCCGACCGCCTGCGCTCCTCCCCCTCCACCTCCAGCGTGGGCTCTCTGGACGAGGACTGGAGCCTTAGGGAGGGCATGCTGGGAGGCGCCAGGTCGTCAGTGGCAATGCGCCTGGCAGCGGGGGGGATGGGGGGACAGCCAGGGGGGTTTCGGGGCGGGCCTGGGGGAGGTGTGACCTGGGGCGGGTTTTACGGCCGGGCGGGGAGCGCTGGAACCCCTTCAGTGGTGAGCTTCGGGGGAGGGAGCGGGGGAGGTGGGGGAGGATCCGGAGCAGGAGGCAGTGGTTCGGCACCGAGCCTGCACCAGATGATAGCCTTGGCAGAGAAGGATCGGGACATGGCGGCGCGGCTGGGAGCAGAGGCGGACTGGCTGAGAGGGGCGTACAAGGAGACAAGGCAGGAGGCGAGTGTGGCGCGGGCGAGGGCAAGGCAGGCAGAGGCGCGGATGGAGGAGGTGAGGCGCGAGCTGCTGCAGTGGCAGGCGCTGGCTGCGGAGCTGCAGCAGCAGGTGCACTCGCTGCAACGCCAGCTTGACAGGTGGGGTGTTGGGGGGAGGTAGGTGGGTTGGTAACGGGCAGATGGACTGGTGGGTTCACTAGCTGCAATGGCAGCAGCTGGGCAGGTGGGCTGCTCAGCGGCAGCTTGACAGGTGCGCTGGCGGAGGAGCTGCAACAGCAGGTGCACTCTCTGCAACGCCACCTCAACAGGTGGGTTGTTTGAGGGGAGTCAGGTGGGCAGTTGGGCAAGTTGGCAGGGAGGTGAAGAGGTGCGTAGGCGGGCTTATGTGTGGATGGTGCTGTGGTTGTTGGTGATTTGACCTGCCTCCATCTTCTCTCCCTGCCCCCCTATTTCCCGCATCTCTCTCCTCGTGCAGCCTGCAGACGGGCAAGAGGGAGCACATGGAAGGGGCAGGGGTAGCAGGAGTGAGAGGGGTGCAGGAGAAGGGGCGAGGCAGGGAGAGGGAGAGGAGTGGGCGGCCGGGCATTCTCACTCGCCGCCTGCTGCAGCAGCAGCAGCAGTATGGGGGTGGGGGTGGGGGTGTTGGCAATGGCATGGTGCCCTCATCTCCTGTGTCGCCCACGTCAGGAGCCTTCGCTGCCTCTGCTCCCTCCTACTCCTCGCAGGTAAGCCCTGGACACACCACGTCATCTGCTCCCTCCCACCTCTGTCTTACCACTGTTGTTCTGGCAGTGTGTGTCATGTGTCATCATTTGTCATCATCTATGCACAAACGGAATGTTTCAGCACCCACACCCTTTTCTAAAAAGATATTATAAACACCGCCACTGCCTTCCTCCCCCCGCCTCACTCCATGACCATCAGATGCGCTCCATTGTCCGTGCCCTCCTGTTCCCCCATCCCACCACTCCCCGTTTTCCTCTTTTTCTGACTCTCACTGCCACCCATTTTCCTATTCGGCCTGCTACTCCCTCCCTCCCTCCCTCCCTCCCTCCCTCCCTCCCTCCATCCATCCCACCGCCCGCACTCTCAGATGCTGTACCTGCTGTGCCTCGTGTTCACCTCCAACATCCCTGCCACCCCATTCCTACTCGCTCTGACACTCTCCTTCCCTCCCTCTCTCCCCGTTCCCCTCCACTTCCCTAACCCTTCCCCCTCCTCAGGTGCAGTACCTGCTCCGCTACGTGGGGCTTCACCCCCATTCCTATCCGGCTTGCCCTCTCCCCCCTCCCTCCCCTCCCTCCCTCCCTCCCTTCCCTACCCTCAGGTGCAGTACCTGCTGCGCTACGTGGGGCTTCACCCCCATTCCTATCCGGCTTGCCCTCTCCCCCCTCCCTCCCCTCCCTCCCTCCCTCCCTTCCCTACCCTCAGGTGCAGTATCTGCTGCGCTACGTGGTGCGTCCGCTGGGTTTCACCCCCTAGGCCACTCAGGCCACCGCCCCCATTCCTAATCGCCCCTCTCCCTCGCTCCCCCCTTTCCCCGCCCCTCCCACACCCCTTCAGGTGCAGTACCTGCTGCGGTATGTGGTGCGCCCACTGGGCTTCACGCCCTCAGGCCACTCAGTGCCCGCCTGCTTCCTCTTCACCATCCTCCGCTTCTGGCCGCACCTCTCCTTCCATACCAACCTTCTCTCTACTACCATCACTGCCACCACGCCCAACTCAGCAACAGTAGCAGCAGCGGCGGGTGTTGGCGCTACAACCATCCCTCCCTTCCTCTCCCCCTCCACCCCCTTCTCCCCCTACTCCCCCTACTCCTCCGCCTCCTCCCTCCCCTTCTCCTCCCTCTCCCCGTTCTCCTCCCTCTCCCTCTCCGCATCCCCCATCCCGCCACACGACGAGGTGCTATCAGCCATCCGCATGGCCCTGCAGCGCTCAGCAGGGAGCCTAGAGCGCCTGGCGTATTGGATCTCCACGCTCGTTGCCCTGCACGCCCTGCTGCTGGGGGGGCTTAAGCCCGCCCGCTGGCAAGCCATGGCTGCTGCAGCAGCAGCAGCGGCGGGGGGAGGGGGTGGGGAAGGTGAGATGGAGGCGGATTCGCAGCAGGCGAAGGGTCGGGTGGAGGAGATGGTGGGTGCTTCTGTTGCTGCTGCTGCTGCTGCTTCTCCTATCCTCGCAGCACCAGCACCCCCCAGTGAAGCTGCTGCGGTAGCTTCTGCTGCTACTGATGGGTTTGCAGGTGCCACTGGTGCCAGTACCGCCACTGCTGCTGCTGCAGGAATCTCTGCCAGGGCTGCGCCTGCTGGAAACAGTGCCGGGGGCACCAACCCAGCAACGGCAAGCAGCAGCAGCAGCAGCAGCAGCGCCTCTGGCAGTCGCAGTGGCATCAAGGCTGCAGCGTCCTTCTTCAGTGGCCTCTTCTCCTCCCGCTCCTCCTCCTCTTCCTTCTCCACCCCTCCCCCTGCTGCTGCGGCCGTCCCTGCCATGCCCCCTCCGTCCCGCCAACCCCCTCGCCCCAACCAGAGCAGCACCCTCCAGCAGCATTCCTATGCCCACCATCCTCCCCCACCTCACTCTCTCACTGCTGCTGCCACCGCTGCTGCTGTTGCTGCACCTCGTTCCACCACTGCTAGTACTGCCCCCAACGCTGCTCCCGATGCTACGCCCGGTGCTGGTACTAGTGCTACCAGCGCCCTTCTCCCAGGAGCCGCAATGCCCGCCTCTGCCTACGCTGTTCCGCGCGCTGGCACCACCAGCCTGGCATGTGCTCCCACGGGGCAGGACGCTGATTCTGCTGCACCTGCACCCACTGGCTTGGTGAGGCCCTGTGGAGGGTGGTAAGGGGCGGTACTGGGTGGTAGGGGATGGTTGGGTGAGGTAGGGAGTGGTAGGGAGTGGTAGGGAGTGGTAGGGAGTGGAGTAGTAGGGTCCGTGCCTGCCCCTGCCTGCTCTGTTCCTCGGCCCAGCACCACCAGCCTGGCGTGAGCTCCCACGGGGCAAGACGCTGATTGTGCTGCACCTGCACTGCACCCACTTGATTGGTGAGGCCCTTTGGAAGACGGGCAAGGTGTTGTGGGGAGTGGTAGGGGGTGATGGGGGCTGGTAGGAGTGGTAGGGGTGGTAGGGGGTGGTAGGGCGCAAGCACTCTAGGACGCCAGGAGAAATGGATGTGCATCTGGGTGTGCCAGACTGTAGAGGCACTGGCTGCCAGCCTCACGTGTGTGCTGCACCGCTGCACTGCTGCTGCACTGCTGCACCGCTGCACTGCTGCTGCACTGCTGCACTGCTGCCAATGCTGCCAGCGGCTGCTGAGAGGCAGCCCTCGTGGTGATGCGCCCATGCTGTGCTGTGGGCGCACCAGGTGGGCACGTGTGTGCCGTACCACTCTCCTCCTGCTCCCTATGCTCTCCCCCGCTTTTGCCCCTTGTCCCCTTCTCCATGTCTGACCTCCCCCTGTTTGCCCTGCCAAAGGATTCCATGCTGCTGCCTCACAAGGTGAACGCGTGTGTGCAACACGCAGTGGGGCTCACAAGGTGAACGCGTGTGTGCAACACGCAGTGGGGCTCACAAGGTGAACGCGTGTGTGCAACACGCAGTGGGGCTCACAAGGTGAACGCGTGTGTGCAACACGCAGTGGGGCTCACAAGGTGAACGCGTGTGTGCAACACGCAGTGGGGCTCACAAGGTGAACGCGTGTGTGCAACACGCAGTGGGGCTCACAAGTCCTTCTTACCTAATGCTGAGTTAACCACGCTCCTTGTGTTCTTCTCCTCTATGGCGCATCCATCCAACCCACCCCTCTGTTCCATACCATCTCGCCCAGTTTGCCCTGCCAGCTGAAACAATGCTGTTGGCGCACAAGGTGGACCAGTGTGTGCAGCATGCATTGGGGTTGATAAGCCCTTCGTAGTGCTGAGTTGCCCACACTCTTTATGCTCTTCTCTTCTCCTCTCTGCTTCATCCATCCGCCCCCAGTTCGCCCTACCAGCTGAAACCATGCTGTTAGCGCACAAGGTGGATGCGTGTGTGCAGCACGCGGTGGGGCTCTTCACGCACCACTGCACCTCGCAAGTCGCTGCCCTCCTGCAACCACCTGTCAGTGCTGCCAGCCGCCGTTGCTTTAGCATTTGTTGCTTCGCTTTTTTGCCTCTGCGTTTGCTTCTTTGCCTTGGCTTTCCCTTCTTCCTGTGTTCGGGCTCTTGCTGTTCCATTTGCATCTGCTTCTGCTTTTATCAACAACCACTGCACCTGTTTCTTATGCAACCACAGCAGCCACAAGCACATGGAAAGGACGGGACGGCAGCAGCAGAACCATCTGGAAGGCGGGGGAGTGGAGGCGCATTGTCCACGCTCCCGAGCGTAGCTCTGAAGGAGCTCGTGGGCAGCACGTGGAGCAGCGTGGTGGTCTTCTTTTCTCTCTATATTCTCTCTTTCCAATCCACCTGTTTCTGACACAGCCACAGCAGCCGCAATCACATGGAAATGACGGGACGGCGGCAGAAGCAGCATCTGGAAGGCGTGGGAGCACAGGAGGCGCACTGCCCAAGTTCCCGAGCGTGGCTCTGAAGGAGCACGTGAGCAGCACGTGGAGCAGCGTGGTGGGTGTGCTGCGGAGGGCAGCGCTGGTGCTGCTGGAGAGCCAGGTGCCTCCGCCCGTCATACAGAGCGTGCTGAAGCACCTCCTCGCCTTCATCAATGTCCGCGTCTTCAACAGGTATAGTCGTGTTCAAGAGGTACAGGGCAGGGCAGGGGTGTGTGTGATGTGATGCCGTTGTGCGTTTGAGTCGCAGCAGGTAGATTTGTTTTGAACAGGTAGAGGGCAGGGGTGTGTGTGTGTGATGTGCTTCTCACAGGTAGAGCTGTCTCCAACAGGTAGAGCGGGAGTGCTGCGGCGGGCAGCGCTGGTGCTGCTGGAGAGCCAGGTGCCTCCACCCGTCATACAGAGCGTGCTGAAGCACCTCCTCGCATTCATCAACGTGCGCGTCTTCAACAGGTGTGTGGCGCTCAGCTATGCGCTTATGCTCAACAGTTGGTGCAACAGGTACAGAGGAGGGCTGATGATGCTGATGTGCGTTTGAGTTTCAACAGGTGTGGGTATCAACTCTGAGCCATTGTAGAGTTGCTTTGATCGCCTTCAACAGTTACAGGGGGTGTGCTGATGCGATGCTGATGTGCGTTTGAGTCCCAACAGGTCTTCAACAAGTCGATTTGTCTGCAACAGGTAGAGGGGGTGTGTTTATGCAGTAACCCCTACTCCATCCCCAACCCCCCAGCCTCACGGTGTGCAACACGTGGTGCCCCCGCACGCACAGCAACGGCAAGCTGCTGTGTGACTGGTCCCTCCCTCCCGACCCTGTGACACTTTCCCCCCTTTCTCCCCCCACCCCCCAGCCTCATGGTGCGCAGCACGTGGTGCCCGTGCACGCACAGCATCGGCAAGCTACTGTGTGACGCGCTCTCGCTGCTCAACGTCTTCCTGGAAGAGCTCCCTGAGGTGCTCTGGGAGCCATTGCATGCACACAGAGGAACGGGGATGGATGGAGGGGAGGGGGAGGATGGGAGAAGTGGAGGGGAGGAGGGAGGAGAGGAGGGGGGTGAGGGGGAGGGGAGTGAGGAGGAGGAGGAGGATGCGGGGCAGGCGAATGTGTGGCGCCACTTGAGGCATCTGCAGCAAGCCGTGTCGCTGCTGGTGGGTGCAGTGCGGTGCTTGTGGGTGCAATGTGGTGCTATGCTCCATCATGACCTTCCCCTTTCTCTGCCGCACCTTTTCCCCCTGTGCTTGAAGTCGCTGGTCCTCTCTGCGTCTAGTCAACTGCTCTCTCCTGCTCCACACCGCCCCCCCACCCTCTCCCCACCCTCCCCCCCCCTGTGCTCCAGGCTATGGAGCACAAGCCGTCGTGCTCGCTGCAGCACCTGCGCTCGCTGTGCCCGGATCTAAACGCGAACCAGCTGGTGCACCTGTGCGTGTGGTACCAGGACGACTGCTACAGCACGCAGGGGCTGCCCGCTGCTGTGGTGGATCAGCTGTGGGGGGAGGTGGACGAACGCACACCCATGCTGCTTCAAGAAAGCCCCAGGTGGGTGGTGCAGTGCGGTGGAGTAATTCTCCTTCTTCCACCACCCATTTCACCACACATGCCCCAACCTCACATGCCCGCCCGCACCTCACATGCCCCAACCTCACATGCCCGCACCTCACATGCCCCAACCTCACATATCCGCACCTCACATGCCCCAACCTCACATGCCCGCACCTCACATGCTCCCATCCCACCTGGCCCCATCCCACGCACCCATGCACATACCCATGCAGGTGTAGTCTCTGCTCTCTCACCAACAAGGGCAGAGTCCTCATCTCATCTCACTGCCTCCCCAGAGCTGCAGCTCGCTCGTGAGCATAGCGGACAGCACGGAGTGGTTTCCTTCATGCAAACCCACCCCGTCCTCACATGCACACACCCTCATGCCCACACCGCACGTGCTCAAACCCCCTGCCCACCGGTGCAGGTCTCCTGTGAGCATAGCGGACAGCACCGAGTGGTTTCCCTCCATCCACCACACTCCCAAAATGTCCCCTCCCCACACTCCCTTCTTGCCGTGCTCTCATGCATACGCCCTTCTCTTACTGCCTCCCATGCACGTCGCCTGTGAGCATAGCGGACAGCACCGAGTGGTTGTCCTTCGTCCGATCCCACCCCACGTCCTCACATGCGCAAACCCCTCATGCCCACACCCCACGTGCTCAAACCCCCTTCTCGCTGCAGGTCGCCTGTGAGCATAGCAGACAGCACGGAGTGGTTCCCCTTCATCCACCACGACGCTGCCAACCCTCAGTTCCCCGCCTTCCTGCGCTCGCTGCTGCTCAAGCGCTCTGCCTCCTCCGCCACGCGCTCCTCCTTGCACACCCCCGCCAGCAGCACCGACAGCCACCTGCTGCCCCACAGCACCCCGCTCCTCGGCCCACAGTTGCATGGCTTACAGTCACATGGGGTGCAGTCACATGGGGTGCAGTCACATGGGGTGCAGTCACATGGGGTGCAGTCACATGGGGTGCAGTCACATGGGGTGCAGTCACATGGGGTGCAGTCACATGGCATTCAGTCACATGGCATTCAGTCACAGTCTCGCGGGTTACATTCGCCTGCGGTACAGACAGGTGGTGTACAGTTACCAAGCACCCCGTCTACAGTGGTGCCCAAGTCCCCTGGAGCACAGTCTACTATGAGCGCTCACTCCGACCTGCCTCTCTCCCACATGCCGGCCATGCAGGAAGAAACCTCCCCTGCTCCGCACCTCCCCCAGACAGACCTGCAATCTCGCACTGAGGATATGGAAGGCACGACTAGAGCTAATCACACAGCCGCGTATCATTCCAGTGCTTATCACGTATCTGAATACGAGGGGACGGCTTCTCAGGTTAAGGATTCTGACAGCGGAGCAGAGTTGCAAGGTGGTGGGGGGAATCGAGCAAGTCTAACAGGTAGTGTGACCGGGGGTGATGGTATGGGAGGTACGAGTAGCTTTTCTCACAACATGGGTGCTGCAGATGACATGGGCAGTGTTGAGTTGCCACTCGCATCATCGAGTAACCAGTGGGGATTCGCAGAGAGGCTATCCAGCCTAAAACCAAACTAGTTTTTTTGGCTTCACATCTTGTCGCATTGCAATAGACTCGCGAAGCTTTCAAACCGAATTTCGTCAACATCACCACAGGATGTATTCTGTTCCGTCCCTAAGGACAGCTATACAGGGGAATGAAGCAAGCTATACCCATGCAACTGCCGTTGCTCGTTGCTATTGGTGCCGTTCTCTGAATGGGTGGGTCCCATCCACACCACACCCACATGGAGAAGACACCCTTATTGGTTGAGCACAGTGTGCCAACAGAGAAGTGCCACCCTTATTCGCTGAGCACGGATTGCCATGAGTTCGTGCTGCACGAATCAGTTTAGTCAAGTACCACTGCAGTGCAATCCACTCATGCTGCCTGCTGTCGCTGCCTCTGTCTCTTCCTGCTGCCTCTGCCTGGTGCCTCTGCTTGCTGCCTCTGCTTTCTGCATCTGCTTGCTGTCTCTGCCTGTGCCTCTTCCTGCTGCCTCTTCCTGCTGCCTCTTCCTGCTGCCTCTTCCTGCTGCCCCGTCCTGCTGCCTCTGCCTGCTGCCTCTGTCTCTTCCTGCTGCCTCTGCTTGCTGCCTCTGCTTGCTGCCTCTGCTTGCTGTCTCAGCTTGCTGCTTCTGCCTGTCCCTTTTCCTGTTGTCTCCGTCTGCTGCCTCTGCTTGCTGTCTCTGTCTGCTGCTTTGCTTGCTGTCTCTGTCTGCTGCTTTGCTTGCTGTCTCTTCCTGCTGTCTCTGCTTGCTGCCGCCGCCTGTGCCTCTCCCTTCCCCCTCTGCTTGCTGTCTCTGCGTGCTGTCTCTGCGTGCTGCCTCTGCTTGGTGGCTCAGCTTGCTGCCTCTGCCTGTCCCTCTTCCTGTTGTCTCTGCCTGCTGCCTCTGCTTGCTGCCGCTGCTTGCCGTCTCTTCCTGCTGCCTCTGCTCGCTGCCTCTTCCTGCTGTCCCTGCTTGATGTCTCTGCTTCCTGTCTCTGCCTGCTGCCTCTGCATGCTGTCTCTGCCTGCTGCCTCTGCGTGCTGTCTCTGCCTGCTGCCTCTGCAGCAAGCAATCCCTCTGTGTTGGGTGCTGCAGCAATCTCTCCGTGTTGGATGCAGCAGCAAGGGGAGAGCGTACGGTCGGATTGGTGAGCACACAAGCCAGCCCCGTGCAACCCACCTCCACTTCTCCAAGCCGTTTGCAGTGTGTCTCCTGCCTCTACACAACACCGTGCAGTGCGGTGCTTTGCAGTGCTATGCGCTTCAGTGCAGTGTGGTGCGGTGCGGTGCTCTACAGCGCGGTCCACAGCGGGTTGGGCAGCATGGCGCTGGATGGCTTGAGCAACAACAGCAGGGTGGGTGAGGTGGGGGAGGTGGCCGTGTGTGGGTAGCACCTCCATGCACGCCCCAGGTATCGCCTCCCTCAAATACTCGCTCACTTGCTCTGGCACTGCAGGGTCACTCTTTGTGGATAGAACAGTCACGGGGCATGATACCTGGGGAGAGAAGGGAAGGGCAACAACGAGTGGGAAACAATAATGACAAATGGCGCCTGTAATCCGACTGAAAGGACGTCCTGAGGGCGATATCCGGGCGCACTTGCAGCACAGAAGTGCCCTTCTGAGTTGACACCAAAGTCGGCTCACGAGCAACCCACCCGTGCCAGCAGGTGCCTGTAATCGGACTGGAATGACGTCCTGAGGGCGCTGAGGGCAATATCCGGGCGCACCAGCAGCACGCCCTCACTCAGCTGCCGCACCTCCCAACCCAACTTGAGACGCCTCAACAACTCACCTGTCCCAGCACGTGTCTGTAATCCGACTGGAAGGTGGTCCAGAGGGCGCTGAGGGCAATGTCTGGCCGCACTTGCAGCACGCTCTCAGTGAGCTGCCGCACCTCGGCGCTGCTGATGTCTCGCCCCACCATCAGCGGTGCAAACCCCGACGTTCACGCGATGTAGTTCTCCCGCACCGCCCGGAACAGCTGCTCCAGGTCTGCTGGGTCGAACCCGGCCACATACCCTGTGGACGGCTCGTTCAGGTACCTGGTGAAGGGGGGATGCGGGGGGTGGGGGAGATGTGGGCGTTGGTGACATGTCAAAAGGAACAGCTTCTCCAGGTCTGCCGGGTCGAAGCCTCCAATGTAGCCCGTGGACGGCTCGTTGAGGTACCTGGCCAGGGGGGCGGAGAGGGGGAGTGTGCGTGTTAAAGATCGTGTCAACGGCAAAAGAGTGAGCTGCTTCAGATTCGCGGGGCTGAAGCCGCCAGCATTGTCACCGCATATGCAAGGAATGCATATGCAATAACAGTAGCGTGTGGTGCTGTGAAGTAGTATTAGAATAGTTAGAAATACATTGAAGAAGATAGATAAGAAGTAGTGTAGTAATTGCAGCCAGTAGCGAAGTGTCGGCTGCTAAGGGGTGTAGAAGGGGGGAAATGTGTGAGAGCGGTTTGGGATAGCGGGGGAGAAGCACCGAAGGGCGAAATGGGGATTTGAACGAATCCCAACCTCGAGCCGCACATTGGAAATGTGCAAGCCGAGGTTGGGTAAGGTCACCCACGCCAATTCACTCGATGCCTATTGTGTGGTATTCTCTCAGACTAGTGGAAAGTTGTCATACTAGCCTCAACACGCAGTGACACAGCACTAAGGGGGAACCTGTGGGGTGAGGGAGCAATCCCTTTCATACCACACAATAGGCATCGAGTCTGTAGTTATGGATAAGTACGAGCTACGGTGGGGCAGGGTGTTTAGTCACCGCGAAGAGGAACGGGCGCGGCGTGAGCCGTCACGTGAGCGCGGGCGATCCCTAGAGCGCTCGCCGCGCAGGCCCGCTTTTCGCGCAGGTAGAGTGCCGGTCGCTAGGGACCGGCGCGCGGAAGGGAGGCCGAGCGTAGGAGCGTACGCTGCAAGCGCGGACGGAGACGCGTGGCAGAGAGAGCGGGATCCCGGAGATGGGCACGGGAGCGACGACCGCCGCGCCGCAGGAGAGTTTCGCTCGCCGGAAGGACGCGGGCGCCGCCGCGATGAGCGAGGCCGTTGGCGTGGTGTCGAGAGATTCGACGCCGGCCGAGAAGGGGAAGCCGCCCACAAGGAAGAGTCGTGGGAGACGTCCGGCGAGGAGGAGGCGGAAGAGGCCGGCGTGAACCTGGAACAAGTGGCCGAAGACGCAGACGGAGGGGATGACGATGAGGAGCCCGTGACTGGGATCAGAAACGCCGAGCCTGGAGAGGCGGACGTCGCCGGGGGCGCAAGCCAGGTAGTGGCGGAAGGATCGCAGTCGGGACGGCGGGAATTGCGCGAGCGTGACGCCAGCCGCCAGGAGGAGCAAGACGCGGAGGGGCTGCGTCAACAGGAGCGGCGGGACTGGGGCGTGCGCGCCGGCGCTGGTGGGACGCAAGGAGAACGCAGCAGGAGCGAGATGGGGGGACCGCGCGCATCAAGGGAAGAACCGCGGCGGTGGGAGCGGCCGCCTGTCAACCCTCGCGCACTCGACGGGCGGCAGGCACAGTAAGGCTGGGTCGGAGACGGCGCACGATCGCCGGGCAGGCAGATGATGCGCAAGGAGGGCGGAGAGGGCGAGCCACGCGCACCCAGTCACTACTGGCGGTGGGGGGAAGGACGCGAGGAAGGGCCCAGTTCGGCGGAAAGGCGCGGCCAGCGGCAAGAGGAACGCAGCGGGGTGGCGTGGACAGCCGGCCCGCGGGAGCAATGGGAGAGGAGGACGGGCGGGGAGTTTCGCTCTCCGCTCAACAGGCAGCAACGGGGAAGAGAAGACGGCGGGGACGGGCGCGCGCCCGTGGATCGTCGGCGGCAGGAGAGGGACGGAGCTTGGTCACCGTCGCCATAGAGACGGCGGCAGCGGGAGACAAGCGCGGCAGGGTGGGGAGGTGCACGAGTCTCGCCGGCACGTATGCGAGGACGCGCGGACGAGGAGAGAGGCAGGAGGGAAGAGCACGGGGAATCGGGCTGGAGCCGGCGAGGGAGCAGAGCGGGTGGGGGGAGCTTGGCATATGGCGCTGAGCGGGCCCGGGAGGCCAGGGAAGGGCTAGAGAGGGCTAAGGAAAGGGGGACGGAGGGAGAGCGGCTGGGAAGGGACAGGGAATCATGGGGAGACGGGCGGGGAGGTACGGCCAGCGCGACGCGAGTGGAGGTACCAGCCAGGTTCTCGGGAGACCAACGGGCGGGGCCTGCCCTCAAGAATTACCTGATGCAGGTGGGGAATGTGAAATACCGCTGTGACCGGCAAGGCATGGACCCAATAGATTTCTTTTTGAGCCTACCGAACACACTGGAGGGAGAGGCGGAGACGCTGTACCGCATGAGGATGGACGAGCTGCTGTGGAGGGCGGGGAGGTACGGGGAGGATCCGACCGAGGCATTTCTGGAGCGACTGCAGCGTCAATTCCCGGGGCACACGGCGGAGCGCATAAAGGAGTTTCAGGAGTTCAGGAGGGGGCGGACAGAGTCCCTACTGACCTACTACAACCGATTGATAAATTTGGCGGAGGACGTGAAGTGTTCGGACAGCAGCCTCCTCATCAGCAAGTTTCTTGGAGGCCTGGACGAGGCGCTGGGGGGAGGACTGAGAATGAGGGTGTATGAGTTGGGGGCAGAAGCGGCGCTGGAGGAGGTGTTTGACCTGGCAGAAAGGGTAGAGCTAGCACAGAGGAAGTACGAGGCCTACCTGCCGAGGCCGATAGAGAGGAGCCGCAGACCAACGTGGGCGGCAGCCATGATACCGGAGGAACGGGGAAGGGTGGACGCGCACAGGGACGAGAGAGCCGACGCGCGTGCCTGCTACCGATGCGGACAGCTGGGGCACCTCCGCCGAGAGTGCAAGAACTGTGATGGCTGCGGGAAGCCTGGGCATCGGAAACGGGAGTGTCCTGATGCAGCGAAGTGTGAGATATGCGGGAAGAAGGGGCACGAGGCCAAGGAGTGCTACCAGCGGGAGGGAGGGGCAAGGAGGAAGCCGGAAGAGCTGCAGCGGCAGATCAGCAGGCTGCAGTCTCAACTGCAGGCCATGGGGCCAGGATGGGGAGCGGAGGCAGGGATGTATGCCAGGGACGAGGAGGGAGAAGGGGTGGAGCCGGACGTGCAGTGTGCCCTCATGGCCTGGAGAAGCAGGGAAGAGATGGGGCTGCGTAGCGGGGGGAAGGATGGCAGGGCGGAGCCGAAACCGCAGGAACGGAGAATTCCCAGGCGACTGGAAGGGAGTGGGAACTCTAAGACCGCCCGGCGCCACCCAGAAGAAAGGCTCGTCTGCCATCCCACGGCCCTGGTGGTGGAACCGAAAGCAGTGGCAGTAAGGGGAATATTGGTGGAGAACGCGGTAGTAGATACAGGAGCACATAGCGTCTTGATCGGGAGGAAGCTGACGGAACAGCTACGGGCACAAGGTAACCTAGAGACCATGAGTACGGGCATACGGATCATGACAGTGGAAGGAGGGGCTCCCAAGTGGATGCCCTGCACCCGAGAACCGATCGGGATAACCTTGCAGTCGGGGGAGAAGGGAGAGACGAAGATCAGGGTGCAATGTGGGTTAACTGAATCAAAGGACTAAGATATTCTATTGGGAATGGATCTGTTGTTCAAGATAGGCACCACGACATGCACTTGGCAGGAGCAGGTGCTTTACTGCTCCAATTTCTGGGAGGAATGAAAGGAGTTGAGTGAGCTGCCAGTTCGGTTCGTTAAGACAGAACCCAAGAAGGCCTGGAGGGCAGAAGGCATGAGAAGGGAGAGCGGGCGGAGTGGAAGTTCCGTAAAGGATAAAGTCAGCGCCAACCTAGATCAGTACATCGTCACCTTAGTGGAGTTGTTCGGAGGGATAGGAGCGGGCTTGGCAGCAGCCTGTTGGTGCAACTCTACGGTTTGCATTCGGCTTGTTGTCTGTGTGCGTGCATGCGTGTGTGCATGGAATGGTATGAGGGCATGAGATAATATATATTTCATGCTTACAATAGTGTGTGAATGATGAGGCATGATTTTGAATGTGTGTGTCGAGTCAATAGCGAGTTATCGCTAGTCGCGTGTCACGTCGTCGTTTGCGTGTCGTGTGCGGTTTTCTATTTTGTCGTGTGTGGAACGTTCGGCGTGTCGCAGGTGTGCGCAGCAGACTTCCAAGAACTCAAGGAAGAATTTATCTGGAAGAACCAGAGCCTTGGTTTCAGATCCAACTTGTAGCATGTCATTTGAAGCTGTGAACAGAACGCTATGAACGTTCAAAGCCGCTCTTCCGAAATCCGTTTGTGCACTCTATCTCTCGTTTTAGGCACATTCAAGCCTATTGTGACTATAACAAGTGGTATCAGAGCCCCTTGGAGCAGTTTCGACAATGGCTGGACCTGCGGAAAGGGGTGGCAGAGGTGCTGGTGGCAGTGGAGAAGCCCAAGCTCAAGGCCACCCCCGTGATCTCGCCATGTCTCCCATGCAACCAAGTCTTGGCCCACCTAGGGATGAGCCTAGGGTGTTTGGGCTTGACAAGTTCAACGGTGACAACTTCTCTGAATGGTCCTTCAAGATGGAGAACAACTTCGACCACTATGACCTGCTGGAGGTGAAGAAGCGGGCTTGGCAGCAGCCTTAGAGGCAGGCCTGAGGGTGAAGAAGTGGGTATATGTAGAACTAGACCCGGACGTGAGGAGGATGGCTTGGAGGCACGCTAAGATGTTACAGCAGCGATACCCCGCACAGCTGACCAAGGAAGTGCTACGGGAGGCTATGCAGAACCAGATGTGGGGAAGATTACTAAAGAAGATGTGAGCAGTGTCAAAACATTATAGCTTATGCTGTTGTGTAGGCTATAGTGGGGTATCCCATAGGGGGTACAACCAATTAGGGTTTCATATTTGTACTCACTTCATTTTCATAGTTCACCCTTTTTCTCGTTCTCATTCTCACATGGAATCAGAGCAGGTCCCCTCCTAGGGACTGTTCCTTGGGCCCACCGAAGCGCGCCTCGAGTCGCGCCTGCCTTTTTTTTTTAGCGACCCGTCGAGTCGCACCTAGCGGCCCGTCGCGCCGCCCTTACGGTCGCGTCGAGCCGCCCTAGCGGCTGCGGCGCGCCGCCCTTTTCCCGGCCCGTCGCCGCCCTTACCCGCGGCTTTGCGCCGCCCTCACCGGCGGCTTCGCGCCGCCCCTACCTGCGGCTTCGCGCCGCCCAGGCCCGTTGCCGCCCTTCCCGCGGCTTCGTGCCGCCTCTACCTGCGGCTTCGAGCCGCCCCGGCCCGTCGCCGCCCTTACCTGCGGCTTCGCGCCGCCTACGGCCCGTCGCCCCCCTTTTCTGCGGCCCCGCCGCCTCTCTCGTTGCGGCCCCGCCGCCCGTCTTCGCGGCCCCGCCGCCATCTCTCGCTGCGGCCCCGCCGCCACTCACTGCGGCCCCGCCACCCGTCTCAGCGGCCCCGCCGCCCGTCTTCGCGGTCCCGCCGCCTCTCTCGCTGCGGCCCCGCCGCCTCTCACTGCGGCCCCGCCGCCCTACTCAGCGGCCCCGCCGCCCGACTTCGCGGCCCCGCCGCTTCTCTCGCTGCGGCCCCGCCGCCTCTCTCGTTGCGGCCCCGCCGCCCTTCACTGCGGCCCCGCCACTTCTCTACAGCGGCCCCGCCGCCCGTCTTCGCGACCCCGCCGCCTCACTACCCAGCGGCCCCGCCGTCCTTCTGCAGCGGCCCCGCCACTCCTCTACAGCGGCCCCGCCGCCCTACGTCAGCGGCCCAGCCGAGCCGCCCAACAGCAGCGCACCCGAGCCGCCCAGCAGCAGAGCAGCCGAGCCGCCCCGCCGCCGAGCCGCGCTGCAGCCGAGCCGCCCGGCCGCCCACCAGCCGAGCCGCCGTGCAGCCGACCGCCCAGCCGCCGAGCCGCCCAGCCGCCGAGCCGCCCAGCGGCCGAGCCGCCCTGCAGCCGAGCCGCCCGAGCAGCCCTGTCCGGTGAGCACAGACCCTCTGTCACTGCGTGCTCTTCCCCTACTCCTTGCACTGCTGGTCTACTGCTGTCATGGCTACCCCTAGTGTCCTCACTTTTGACGCTGAGGGTCGGGCCATTGACTTTGAGGTCTGGGTAGATGACCTACAGCTGTTCTTACAGTGCGATAGGGCGGACGGCCTCTCTCTCTTTGACCTCACCTCTGGCGCTTCCACTGCCCCTGCTGCTGATGCTGACGCCACTGTTCGCTCCCAATGGGCCACGCGCGATGCTGCTGCACGTCTTGCTGTGCGTCGCCACCTCCCTACCTCCGAGCGTGCGCACTTTAGTCAGTACAAGAGTGCTCAGACCTTGTACGCCGCTGTAGTCGCGCGCTACTCCTCCCCTTCCACTGCTGCACTGAGCCGTCTCATGCTGCCGTACCTCTTCCCTGACCTTGCTTCTTTTCCCACCGTTGCTGACCTCATTACGCACCTCCGCACTAGTGACACTCGCTACCGCGCTGCACTTCCTGCTGACTTCTGCACCGCGAACCCCCCCCCCATGTACATCACTCTGTACTTCCTAGTCACTCGCCTCCCTGACTCCCTT